GGGTTCCAATCTCCTCGTCAACTCAATAATTTCACAATAAAAATTTGATGCATTTGTATCATCAACTCCTGGAATCCTCTCATGACCAAAACAAGGGTTTGTTTAGTGATTTTAATTCGAAACATGTATTTGGACAAAACACTTGAAAGATTCAGTATTGGATGAAGCAAAAATTAAAATCAAAGTGCGTGCAGACACAACCTTTCATTGTGTTCCTTTCATTTTCACATGTTTCAAAGCCATAACTCTATCCAGAGTTGTCTCATGGATAGGTGGGATTTTATTCTCCATCCACTCAGAAACTAGTTTGTGTATCTTGAGCACTAATATTACTCGCTTGCGGTGCTTGGAGAGAGCTTTACTCGAGCGAGTGGATCATAAATGTTCTTTCTGACGTTTGAGGAGAGAAGCTTTAAACCCCCCTCGCCCTCAATCCGTCCGCCTGTCATCCCTCACTGGCAGAGCACATGAAGAAGTGCTGAGGCAGCAGGGTCGAGAGGGCGTTTCGAGCAGACATGTTCATGCGGGTGTAAATGGATTGTGACACTGTACATGTTTGGGTTGATTTTGAAATTAAAGCGCTGGCTCTGGAGAACGTAGCAGATGCTGTTCTTTCACTGTTATAATGGAATTGCTTTTGCTCTTTAATTCTGTCTTCGTCTCTACCCTTGAGAAAATAACTGGCTGTGTTTGTGTGTAGGACCCTTTAGAGACAATGTTTGTTGCCAAGGGCACTGTTCTCTTGGGGGTGGGATCTTTTTTCCCACACTCCTGAAAGATTAGTATTATTAATACAAGAAAAAAAGTACATAAAATAAGGGATGGACTCCTTCCTGGAAACAATGCTAGTTATGGTTCACTGGCCTTTCGTGACTACTTTCTGACTACAGTTTTTCTCTTTGCGTGTCAGATAAATAACATTCAGATGAATTGGTTCATTCATTCTTTTGAATAGTTTGTTCTTCGAATTCAGTGAATCTTACTGTTATTGAGTAAACAGACATAGAAACAATAGAAAAACAAATCCTTCATTTTTTATTAATGCATGAATGGTTCCTTTACTTATAGTTGGCAGAATGACAAAACACAAATTGCTCCTGCTGTGTTGAAATGGTTTGCATCATTCGAATCATAGGAATCTGAGCTTTTCAAAGATGTGTGCCATTTATGTTGAGTTGTGAAAGTGACATTACAAACAAGAATGGTGTGATCCATCATTAAAGTATTTATGACTCCCATGTGCCAAACATATACTCGTCTTTTGCAATGGTAGCCATTGAGATTCAATGCATTTCAATGGCCTATTAGAAATGAATTGGACACATTTTGCATTGATTTCCAAAGGCAGTGCTGTTTCCATGGAAACGCTTGACCTCGACTTATTTAGTGTGATGATTACCATTTTAACTGAAACTTTTGACAGTTGGAAGCATATGTGAGAGAGATTGCTGTTTCTATGCAAAACCACACCTCACATCAAGAATAGCTCAAGAAAAATGATAATATATCACTTTAAAATCAGAAGGCTTCAACAAAGAGAGTGATGTAAATTTTGTGAAGCTGTAAATACATTTAAAAGATTTATGGCGAGTTAGAAATAACCTTTGTTTAAGTTTTTGGGATAACACATTATTTGAAAACAACACCTCAAACAAATTACGGAAGAATGATAAGTAAAAAAATTTCTTTCACTATTAGAATCAGAAGCCTTCAAGAAAAAGCTGCACAGTTTTCAAAGTTGTGCTTATATTTCAAGGATTTATGGTGAGTATTTTGAACAGCACCTGCCAGAATTTATGAATAGAAGCTAATGGAGGAATTTTCTGCACGCTCTGTGCTTTAAGCTAGGAGTAAAAACTGTAAAAATAAAAGTGAAAATAGCACCAGCTGAAAGAAGACAAAAATCTCTACCATTTGCATATAAAATTAATGTGTAATAATGAAAGTTTAGTGCTGTTCTCTTTTTCTTGAAGGCTTCTGATTCTAATAGTGAAAGAAATATTTTGATATGTCTTATCGTTCTTCCGTCATTTGTTTAAGAAAAGGGTGAAATTATCAACAAGACTGAGCTTTTTTACTCACTAGTGGGGTGATGGCATCACTCTCTAGAGCCTCCAATGGAAATGTCTTTTGGACAGTTTTGGGTTGTTTGTCATGATTTTTAGGGAAACCGTGAGGGAAACCGTAAACAAACTTAAAAACAGCTTGGAGGTGAAAGTTTTGATGGCTGTAGCTTTGAGGAGTAGAGTTAAGAATTTATGCCACACATTTCTTTTTTTCCAGGGCACTAAAGGCATTTAAACTCTTGATTTAATGTAAATAGCAGACTCAAAATGTCAACAATCATCAAAAAGTCAATGTCTAGGGTAATGGTGACAATACCCCCCCATCTCTCCCCCCTCGTTCAGGAGAAGAAATGGAGAAATGTGAAAATCTAGAAACTGCCTAGTGTCTGAGTGTGGAGCAGTGCTGGTGTGAATAGGTTATTAAGAGTGAAGGATCTTGACAGTCTTGTCAGCTAAAACTGTTCAGTTGTAAAAACTGCAGAGCAAACAAGTGGAGACGCGCTTGATCTTACACTCCAGGAGTGTGTTCAGCTTCTGCTGCCAGGAACTAGCACGCTTTAATACAGCAATTCTTTCTTTTAGAAACTTGGATGAAAATGTCACGATTGGCACCTTTTTGGAAATATTTTGCACAGTTGTGCACTGCAGGGAAATTGGTTTTGTTTTTCTGTTATCTGTAAATGGATTAAACTGGTATTTATGGCAACACAAATCAGATGCAAACAAATTCATCTTGCCAACTGGAGAAAATCATTTTGTTGCAAGTGATTCAACCTCAGTTATGGGGTGCCCAATTGTTTTCTCCTAAGTGCCAGATAAATAATGCATTCCAAGGGTCCAGCAGTGCATCTTTGCATCAGTAATATTCAAATTCTAAAATGCAATTTTGAAACATATGTACGTTTGTAAATAAACATAAAATACAATTCTGTATTGCTTGTTTGTGTGTGCGTGAGAGAGAAATGATATGTTCTCGCAAAATAAATAAATGCAAATAATCCATAGAAGCTAATTAATTTATATATTCATTACAAAATTTTCGTTTTAAAAATTATGTTTATTGAATCTTTCTCAAGTGATACAGTGACATAAAAAGGTGTTTTTAACTCCACACACTAGATAACAATAGTCAGTCGGATTGCCCAATTGGCTCACAGCCCAGTCAGAAATTAGCTTCTGAAAATGGTCCAGAGGACAATCAGGAGATAGTCAGTGCAGGCTGAGGACACAACAATCAAACTGCTTTTTATCAAACCTTACTTTAACACATACTCATCTTTTATTTAATACCTCCCAACCAGCTTGTTGGCAGGTAATGTATCATAAAAAATGACTGATAAAATAATTTCTTATCTTTCAAACTCTTGGTTTTCGCAGTTCATGATCCTTATGCACACATGTTCAGCACTGAAGAATCAAAAGTGAAATTGCATTAAAATGTTTAGTCACATTGTCCCACTGCAACATGGTTGAAACCCATAGTCTCTCACCCAGAGCCGAGAAGTACTCTGTGTTTTTAAATCACTTTATTTTAAGAGATACACTCACGCAGAGTCTAGAATCGTTCATTTTCCCTGATCATCCTGAACGCTGCGGTACCTTAATGATCCGCCTTAATTAATCAGTTTTAATGAGATAACATGCATTTCAAATCTCTTGGCCTTGGTAATGGCTCCCTGCCAGAGTGTGTCTCTCGATCAGGAAGCTAGACCTCTTGATGATGGATGATGCATAGCTTTTATTAAGTTTTGAGGTGAAGCTAATGATGTGGCAGCTCAGGCGCAGTGGGTCAGTGATGTGAGATATTAATGTTGCAAGTGTTGTGTTTCTGGTCAGAGGTGGATAGGTTTTCATTGGTCTTTCAAATAACTGTTTTCTGACTGAGATCTGGCAACATTAAAAAGATAATCCAGTTTTGAAGTGTTCATGGCCAAGTCATGTGTAAAAGATAAAGATAACTCATTTAGATTATTAGAGGTTTTGCTTTTGAACCTTTGGAAGTCAACACTGAACATAGTTTATTTAGTTGCAGAAAAGATCCAATTCTTAAGTCCTCCTATAAAGGGTCTGAGTTCTCTGTATGTGTTCTTTTTTCTCCTGTCTTCTCTCTCTCTCACTCAAAAAAAACAGTTAAGAAAGTCCAGTTGCTCTGAAAATATGCAAATAGTTCCTAATATCAACAAATCATACCAGTTTCCTGCTAGTGCCATCTTACGGAAGAAGGCATCATGCATCCCTCTTTTCTGAGGAAAGTTTTATTAGAGGTTAGAAGTGCAGCTCTTTATTGTAATACCATCACCATCCACTGGGCTTCTTTACTTTAAGTTGGCCTTTCTCAGACCACATTTATACAAGTTTTCACAGTATACCACCACAATGTTCCAGATTATTCTTCTCAACCATACAATGTGGATTAAGAACAAATCAGTCACATTTGTTTGCCCTCATTTCTTAATCTTTTCTTGAAATTTTTCAAAGACTTTAAGATTTGGAAGCTGCACATGATGTCATCCACACAAGATGTTGAATACCGTGTTGGCCCTGGCATCATCTTTATGACTATTTCCACCAGAAAATATTGCAAACCAGAGCACGTTTCCACTCTTGGACTTAAATATTAAACTTGTGCTTTAGCACAGTTTAAAACAATTGTTTGCCATTATCACAACAAGTAATATAAACCTAGCCCCATTTCTATGATTTTACTAAGCTACAATAGAGCTTTGCCAAACTGGTTGCTATAGAGGAGTCAGTGACATAATATAACGTTACCTTTTTGACTCTAAGCTATATTAACCAACCCAATCATGCCTCAAATATATTCAAAAGCTGAGTTAGAATTTGGTTGCTAGGGTAAGCAGTTTGGTTGCTATAGAGTGGTCTGTGATGCTATAAAAAATGGAAGTTGTTACTATGATTAATATAACCAACCCTGCTGTTGTGGCCTAGTGGACATTGTGATTGACTGGAGATCAGAAGATCGCCGGTTCGATCCCCAGCTTCACTGGAGGCTCCCTACCTGGGCAGGGTATGTGTGTGTGCACTTGGATGGGATAAATGCAGAACTTTCAAACCACCATCCATCCTCCATTTGATCAAATACCTTTGCATAATGCTGGGTGTGAATGATGAGTGGAATGAGTTTGAAGTTTATAAAGGTTTCTCAGTTCGCATTATAGCTTTGCAACAAAAATTCCCTTTGACAAGCCAATATAATAAAAGAGTTTAAATGAGATTTAAATCAGAGCGTTTGGTCAATCAAACCCCTAGACGGCTTACCTGTTTGCACAAGGAGACTGGGAGGGATAGTAGATTTAGATATAGAGTTGAAACCCGGGTCGCATGGTGGCACAGTGGGTAGCACTGTTGCCTTTCAGTAAGAGTCACTGATTCAAAGAACAGGAGTTGAGTGGTTCTCCAAGTTTATCCAGGGTGTATCCTGCATGTCACTCAAAGTATACTGGAGATGGGCACCAACAGACCCCCATGACCCTGTAAAAAAAGTGAGTAAGGAAAGTTAATTGAGTATTTTAAACTAATTGCAAGAGTTTCCATTTTTGTTGGATATTTACTCATTTTTTAGTAAGAGATTTTTATTTACTTATTTACCCAAAACATTTTTGTAAGTTGATAATAACATTATAGTGATCTTTTTTAACGTGGAGTTTGCACAATAGACATGCAGGATGGATTTTCTTGGAGCTGGGTTTGTGAAGTCGGTATGTCACAGGGTCGATGATGCTTTCTTTAGGGAACTTTCATTTTAGGTCAACATTTTATCCTTTTGACCTGCCATTATTGATGCTTGGACAATTCATCTCCCTCCAATGGAGAGACGCTAGGTTTTCTCACAAGACATGGCTGGTCTGTTGATATAGGTTTTCATTAGAAGCATTCCAGAGTTCTTATGCTCCACTCAAATTAGCCATATATGCCTTCCGTGGCCCTCAGCCTCTGTAACATCATTGCTGGTGTGTGTTGTGTGCAGCTGGATGACAAATGTGTGGTAACATGGCATATAACCTGATAAGAGTGCTTAGCGACAAGCGCAGGTGGCAGTGGTGGTGTGTAGCATTTTATCTTTAGCATTGAGCCATAATGCATTGGGACAGGTTTCATCCGCTCGGCCTGATGGGATTACACTCGCAGCTGGTCATAGCTGTGATGATGAACATTGGCATTGTTAGCACCTACTGTGAGTGTGGCTAGCATGGCAGTCCATGGCTCTGCTTTTGCCATGTTCATTTTTGATGAAGAAATGTCCCTATCTCTGTAATAGATTAACTTTGAGCCTGTGTCTCGAGGAACAAGGAACATCTTTATAAATCTATAGAATAAAAATGCACAACTTAAGCTTCAAGGGCCTTATGTGTCAATTTTGCATAAACCAATGTTATAGTTATTGTGTAATTACATTTTTGTTTTTATTAGTTTGTAAACTTTGGGTGATTTGTCAGGTGCACGATTAAAAAGCTCAGTAAGTTTTGTGTTTTCAGTTTCAAACATGTATTTAGATTTATTCACGAGAAACACACCCATGAAAGATGTGATTAATCTTGCTACACAGAGGCTCAGCTTCCAGTGACTAGTGCAGATTATAACTAAAGACATATGTTACTCATAACAGTTGACGTCTGTAATTGGAATTATGACTAGGTACAACTTTCCACAGTTGGTCAGTGTGACAGTGGCACCTCCACGATTTAACATTTAAAGGTTTTCACCAGGGCTCTGACCCGAAAACTGGAAACAAACAAAAATTTACAAGGAACAAAAATGTAATCAATTTGAACTGTCCCGGACAGAAATGCTATTTTAAATGAGCATCAATCGGTTCATACAGTTCTTTTATCATTAACTGAAAACTGGAGACACAACAATGCTGCAATCTCTCCAGCAGCCATTTCAGCACTTTGAATATCTATGTTTGAGTGCTAGCAAACCTCCGACGAGGTTTCACATTTTAGCTACATTAACTCTGCAACCCAAATACATCCAATTTTTCCCATGTGTGACCAGTATCTGTTTTGTTCTGAACGGTTCAATTCTGACTGAGATCGCATTCAAATATGAATCTAAATCAGATGCGAATTTGACTTTTTCAAAAGCAACCAGTGACTGAATGGGCAAGTCGGATGTATCCAACTTTTCATCAACAATTTGATGTTCACGGTTAGACCATTTTTGTGGTGAAATCAACACAGGAAAGCTTATTAAAAGATGTAGAATTGCGTATGTAACAAGGGTTAAGTACAGATAATTACGTGAAAAATTAGAAAGAAAATAATTACTACAGTAAAGTACAGATACGTCTACTTAAGTAAGGTAACAAAATATTTGTACTTCGTTACTTGACACCCCTGACATCAAGACTCCTACAAAAATGTTCACTTTGAATTCAAACAATAAAATAAACGATTGTAGCAAGGTGAGCATGAGCTTCTTCAGCAGAGGGAGATTAGCACAGAAAGAGAAGAGAAAAATTACAGGCGCCTACGGGTCCTGAAACTAGGAATAGCTGTCTGAAGACGGTGCAGATGAACGCTTGTGTTTCGTATGTATCCTTCGGCGTAATAACATCTGAAAAACGATGTTGGCACACGATGACATTTTTCTTTACCGTTCTTTTTCCATCTTTGTCAGCAAAGACAGTGCAAACATCTCCTCAGAGCCTCCCCAAAGCTCACAACGCAAGCTTCAAACGTGTTCCACCGTTTACACGTAATTATCACTTCAGAATTTTTTTTTGAGTAAATGAGTTCTTATATGTATTCTTTCCATCTCCTCACAGTGCAATTGAGTGAAACACGGGAAGTCCCGCCCTCTTTTAACGTTAGTGCTCACTGATTGAATATTTACACAAAGGAGCAGTTCATTGATTGGATATTTGCTCGCGGACATGCTGTTCACAAGCGCATACCGAAACGAAGAGGGTGTACCAAACGGTTCGGTATAAAACGCATTAGTGTGTCATCCATAACATTTACATCCATCAACAAGTACAGAAACATTCATGTTTGTTTGATTTAATGGATCAAATATCTGATTTTGATTGCAAAAATTGTTATTGTTTTATTTCATTTTATCTTTTACATTTTTGCCTCTGCATGAACAATGCAACAATTTTCAGCAATGCAAAAAGCACATTTGTGTGAGTGAGGGTGACCTTTTACAGTTTTACAGAAGCATTTCCAGTAACGCGAGGGTTGTATTTTGCATATTAAGTAGTAGTTACTGAGAAAGTTGTACATCATTTGAATGGTCATTCATTTTAAGCGTTAGTTTGAAACATTGGTGGCTAACACTGCCAAATGTTAAGTGAAACAGCAAATCACTTTACAGTGAAGTGCCTTTGCTTTTACAAATGAATACATTTAGAGTCAGACACACGTTTGATTAAAAGCTGTTTAACAGTGGGCTGCTGGATTCATATCTATGCATATCTGTCTTTTGTTGGTGACTTGTGTAGTGTAATTTTTTAAAGGGTTCTAATGAGAACATATAAAAAAATGAACTACACATTGTTTGGTGTCCACAATGTATTTCTATTTTTTTCTACTAAGTAACTGGCAGGCACTAACTGTCAAAGTCCTTCAATCTCACAAAGCTAAAGTAAAGTCACAACGGTTTTGAGCGAGTGATTCAGGAGGAGAGAAGTCTCAGACCTTAGCAGAACCCTGCGAACCTTTTAAAAGCCAACATATTGTTACTTGTCTTTTGGAATGGACAAAAAATTCTAAACGCACCTCCTCCTAAACTATTCAGACAACACTACCCAAATTTAGTGGTACTTTTAGTGGCTAAGACGTCCAATCTGGGGTGACGAAGGATGGTATATCTTTTCAGACTGGTACCACTAAAGAATTCTGGGAAATCACAGAGAGTACTGGGAAATGACACATAAAATGGGGTTAAACTTTGTAAAACTGTAAGTTGGTTCTAGAATGAGATAAAATGTACCATTGACTTTCATTTTCCCATTTTTTTCAATGGCCATTGTAACACAGGCATCATCAAAACGAAACATCACTGACAGCTCCCTAGCAACCAAAACGTTTACACCATTTCAACCACATTTTCTGAACTCTACCGTAGCATTGATAATGGGGGTTTGTTAATTGAACTTTTGTGACAAAGGCAGCATTATATTTTGTCTATAACTCCTCCATAGCAACTAGACTGTTTTATCCTAGCAACGAAGTTGGCAGAATCATAGATCAGCTTTGAAAAATCATAGCGTATATGGCATTCATAATAATGAGAAACATTATACTATGTCACTGACTTCTCCATAGCAACCAAACTGTTAACCAAAAAACCTGTTTTGCATATACTCATCGCAACACGTGAAAATCATGTGAAGATATGGAGGTTGTTTTTTGTTACTCACAGTGACATACTTTAAACAGCACATCTAGCACACTTTTAAACATGTAAAAGCCAAAATCAACCTAATTCCCAATTATTAGCCATCTTTGATGGTCACGTTATCAGGGGCTGTATTTGCTCTCGCCTCTCTTTCTACCTAGCCACACCCTTCGCTACTCGGCATAGTAAGACACGTCCACTTTCCCTTTTCAGGCAGAAAAGACCTGAAACAGGTGCGGCTCATGGGGCTTTAAATAAGTGGTAAAATGCAAATGTAAATGCCAGACAGCCAAACCCACTGGTGTACCTGCTGGAGCAACATAGCCAGCAATCCCAGAGAACAGCTAGCCCACTGAAGTCCAGGCAGACAGGGAAAGGAGCCCACAGAGGAGAATCCAGAGACTTAGCTAAGAGATGAGTAATCCGGTTAAGGAACTTCTTTTGCAGAGATCTCAGGTTCAGAGAACACTGAGTTGGTGAGTTGGTAGCATGAGGTGTAGATCCAACTGGGAATGTGAGTCAGTGATATGGCTTTAACGGAAAAGTGAGTGATTGTTGGGTTGCAATTGGATGGAAGTCTCAATGGTTAAAGTGACCGCAGGTAATGTGAGTGATTGGGGATCTGTATTTTAGTGG